CCCTCATTGTTCCATTAAACCACGGAAGGGAATAAAACCAAAAACGTTTATGAAATTGTATATATATAGAAAAAATCAATATTTGTTATATATTTATATATAAGATAATATAGATGTTTATATATACATATGTGTGCATATATATATATAATATATATATTATATATATTACATATATGGATGTTTATATATACCATATATACATAGCTATATATATATATATTATATCATATATACCATATATATATATACTAATTATATATATATATATTATATATATATATATATATATATATATATAATATATAATACAATACATATATTATACACTTTTTATGCCCACAAACATCGGCATGACTTGCTTCATGATGAACCCCGAGAGAGCCTCCGCGGTTGCCTTCGTCGACACTATGTCCTTCATGAAGGCGAGGATTCTGGCCGGAAAGGGAAGCCCCGAGATGAATCCCATGGGCTTCTTGTACCCGCTCAGCCCCACGCTTTGGGCGGTCCTGTTTGCCACGCTCCTCGCTGTGTGGGCGGCGACGCTTGTGCTGAGGAGCCCCGCCAGAGGCTCGAGGTGGTACGGCAGGGCTCTACATCTGCTCTACAGCCACTTCAGTACACTCCTGCAGCAAGGTCGGTCACCGCATTTCTTCGCGGGTCCTGGTGCTGCAGCCCGGCCAAGATGCGCTTCCAATTCTAATGCGCTCTCTCTTCTTTTCAATCTCTGACATATATATATATATATATATATATATATATATATTATATATATATATATTATATATATATATATATATATATATATATATATATATATATATAATATATATATATATATATATATATATATATATATATATGTATATATATGTATATATATATATATATATATATATATATATATATATATATATATATATATATTATATATATATATATATATATTATATATATATATATATATAATTATATATATACTATATATATGTATATATATTTATATATATATATATATATATATATATATATATATTATATATATATATATATATATATATATATATATATATATATATATTATCTGTGTGTATATGTGTGTATATATAAGTATATGCATATATATAATATATATAATATTTAATATATATATATATATTTATATTTATATATGTATGTATGTATATGTATATATATATTATAATATATATATATATATATAATATATATATATATATATATATATATGATATATTTATGCACACACACAAAAGCGTACGCATACATTCCCAGTTATGGCGGATTTTTTCTTGCCAGACGTGGGCATCAGTTTCGTCCGTGCAGTGGATCGGTTTGTTGTTGGTAGTTGGATGCTGGTTGCCATGGTGATCATTTGGGCTTATGGTTGCAACCTGGTGTCTCTTCTGGCTGCCAGAAATATCCCTCAGTCTATCCAGAATCTACAAGACCTCGTGGACACGGATATCCAGGTTCTGCTGAGGCCTAATACTGCTCTCTCTGCCTATTTGGTATGAACGCATCCAGTTTTGTACAGCAATACTGGATGCGTAATATATTTTCATTCACGCGTATATGCAGCCAACATCTGTTCCCCTTGATTAGAATAAGCTCTTCACAGTTAATGTATTCCTTCTAAATTTGTGCCAGGAACAACGCGCTGAATTCGGCGCCTTTGAGGACCGCGTAGTTCATATCGGCTTCTCCGACTACGTGCCCACGCTTGAGGACATACGTCGGGGCACCCACGTGCACATCACGGTGGAGATGTTGTGCAGTGAGCTGATGTCTCAAGATTTCTCGAAGTCTGGTAAGTATTAATTGCTGGTTTCGTAATTTTCAGAAGTGCATGAGACTCGTCATACACCACCCGCATAAGGTCATAGTACCGAGATATACTGATATCAGCGAAAAGAAATGACACTAGCACTTTTTCCGTCAATATTTGCGTTTCCGTCTGAACTATCCGTATGGAAATGGACCGATCCTATAGACAAACTGAGGCAGCACTAAGGGTAGGGAGAGAGTTCATTTGCTAATATGGGAGTACATACACACGCACACAATTGGCATTCTAAGTAAAGCAGGGCTAATTCTGCTCCTCTTTGGATCCCAGGCCGTTGTGACTTTTACCAGAGTCGAGACGCCTTCATGGCCAATCCTATGAGCATGATTGTGCAGCGCGGGAGTCCGCTTTTGCCTGCCATCAACCACAGGTAATCACGACAGGCCGAGAGCGAGCAAGAGAGCGAGAGAAAGAGAAAGAGAAAGAGAGAGATTGAGCATGAATACTGCATCAGTATTTTTATGCGAGTATATATATATCTATTCATAATATATGTCTGCGCGTGCGAATATATAATTAACGGTATATGATTCTGTACATGCCCATATTTCTCACCTTTTTACGCGCAGAATTCGCAGAGTGTTGTCTGCTGGTCTCTTCGACTACTGGGTAAGCAACACCATCCCCAACGTCACGAGGTGTAGCCACTCCCCGTCTACCATCACAGTGATGGAACCTCTCACTATCACCGCTGTATCGGTAACCATCATATTTATAATCATTATTTATTGTGAACACCTTTTGACGGGGAACTGAAATACAGAAAACCAAATTTTGTTTACATGCAAAAATGAACCTACCCAATTGGTCCACAGATTGTAGCAGCAATGGGGGTGACTGATGTTTGCACCACTTTGCAGGGGATGTTCGCAGTCTGGGCCAGCGGACTGGTGCTGTCGCTCATCGCCTTCTGCATGGAAATCCTCGTGGCTAACGCCCTTTCACGCCCATAGGCGGACTAAGAGTAATTATCTATGTCACCCAGTCTTATACCATAAGGACAATGAAACCGCATGAAACATTATATTAGGTATCAGTAAGATGTAGGAAACCGATCATTCATATATCTGCTAATTATTTTACCTATATAATCTAGTTTGTGAGAGAAGCCGTGCATGTCAGCCACCAAGAAGTGAATCTAATTTGACTGATTTTATGGACATTATAAGCTAGATCTATTTCACACCATATTTACTCACCAAAATCTCTTGTTCTGAACTGAATACGTATTCACATTACTCAAATAAACCATAAGAACCAAATATCTTCTCTGCATGTCTCCTCCGTGAGTGATCGTAAAGTGGACAAGAGAATTATGTTCTGTCGGTAAAATGACTCGTGGAACATACTGAAATTTTATGGATTATATGTATCTGTTTACAAAGACTTCTTAGGAACATATGTAGAAAAAAATACAAAATGTGTTAACATACATACATACATACATATATATATATATATATATATATATATATATATATATATATATATACATACATATATGTATACTATATATATATATATATATATATATATATATATATATATATATACATATACATATATGTATACATGTATATATATATATATATATATATATATATATATATATATATTATATATATATATATATAATATTATATATATATACATATATAATATATATATAAATATATATATATATATATATATATATATATATATATATATGTGTATATATATGTATATATATATTATATATATATATATATATAATATATATACACACACACACACACACACACACACACACACACACACACACACACACACACACACACACACACACACACACACACACACACACACATACACACACACACATATATATGTGTGTGTGTGTGTGTGTGTGTATATACATGTATATATAATAGTAATGATAATAATAATAATAACAATAGCTTAGTAGTAGTAGTAGTAAAAATTATGAATAAATAAACAAATAATTAATGTAATAAATAAAAGTAACGAATGTACTGCCGAAGCCTCATAAAAAAGAATGCTAGACTAAAACGAACTAGTTAAGACTAAATACAAAGCGACACCAAGATGAGTAATAGAACGACAGGCAGCTCCCAGCATTGCTTGTGGTCGAAGAGCAACCTCTGGTCCGCAGCCGAAGATATCCCAAGGACAAATCACAAGGAAAAGTCCAAATAGTATTCTTTATTATCTACATAGCGTGGATTTATATTCCCTCCATGTTGACGGCACTACATGCTGATAGACAGTGTTGAAACGAAGTGCAAATATGTAAATGCAATAAAACATTAGAAACATTTACACGAAGAACAGAAGAAGCCATATGGGACAACTAAACAAATAAAATAAATCTATATTGGTGACATAAAGCTGGAGCTCAATAGGAGGCCATCTCGAGTCTAAGCAGATTCAAGCAAGAGCTGTATAACCCTTCAGCCCCTTTATGCCTGTTTCCTCTTTGTTTAAAAGGAATTATCCTCATATGCATTACGTAATATATATGGACATGTGCTATAACCGTAATTAAAGTATATTACAGTCATTGTTGCGTACCCCTGGGGGTATGCAACATAGATCATAAGGGTACGTGAACAAACAAGGAACACACACACACATACACACACAAACAGAAACATCACATGTTCTATGAATCATCTTTTTTATTCGTGTATTAAATTCGAATTTATTGAACAACACTCCTGCAATACAGCCTTTTCATAATTAGTATGCATTATCCTAAATAAAACAGTTTGTTTAGGCATGGTGGCGGGAGAGGAGGGTACCTAACAGTACAAGAAGGTTATAAAGGGTACAATAGGCGAAAATGTTTGGACAATATTGTCCTAAAACAACAGAAATTAAGGATGTTATTAGATCTCCAGTATCCTGTTTCATTTACAGCTCTTCTTTTATTATCTCTCATATGTAACAAGTTTCACAGTACACACACACACACACACACACATATGTGTGTGTGTGTTAACTCCTAGGCGTGACGACTTGAGGAAATCTTGGCTCCGGCGATTTCCAAAACGAAGACGCAGAAGGACATGACCAGCCCGCCGGCCCACACCGTAAACATGCCCTGCAGTCAGTGTAAACAAAATATTACTCAAACACAGGACAGGCATCGTTTCTATTTGTATGTAAAATATATAACAAGACCTTATTTCGCAGGATTCACATTGTTCTGCTTACCAATAACAAATTATCGGGTGAAATGATACGTCCAAAGAGACATATAACATTAAATGCCTAATGCTAGTAATATATCTATCAAGCCCGTTGACCAAGCAGCTCACGAAAAGGGCATCATGACGTATAGTTCCTTCGCTCACCAAACAAAATCGGAAATCTAAATCTAACGGTCGTAGGCTTAAATACATTTTGGAATACACTCATTGAAGCACAAAATCCTTTACTAACGAATAATACCGTAAAATTCAATTGGTCTACCAAAATAACTCAAGCGGATAAGAACACTGTATCTTTGAAACTAAGTCCTAAAGTTACATTGAGACTTCCTACAGTCGTGAAAATTCTAGCATAAGAAAACTGTGTTAAGAACTGATTTGCGTTACACAATTCTATAAGCATGCGGCCATAAGACCCAAGCCAGAGGGCGCTCACCCAGCAGACCCGGAGGGAGAGAGGCTCCATGACCGTGATCGTCGAGGGGGCGTTGAGGCAGAACCTGATGTCGGCGATGGCCTTCTCCATCCAGTAATTCACGAGCCCGGCGGCGTGCAGCGCTCGGATCCTGCAGGAATAGTATGATTTTGTCTAGAACTTTTAAGACCTTTTTAGATTCACTGACCCTTTAGAAATTCTGATGAAAGTTATGGACTCCCTTCCCCAGAAATATTCCCCTAAACACAACTTAATGTAAAGTGTAAAATGTATTCTATTTATTAAGGTTTTATTGTCTCATACATATGTGAAATACGCAAAGTAAGAGAGAGGAAGAAGGAGAGATATAACGTTATAACATCCTAGTACGATGGAAATCTAGAACCGTCTGGTCTTGTCCCTTATACTGATTTTATTGATCATCTACCAGCGGATCCGAACGAAAAGGATTTATCAAAAGAAGTCCGTATTTAAAATTTGTATTTATGTATGCGTTATCAGACCTTTCATAAAATAATTTTCACAATAAGAATAACAATAATAGAGAGAGAGAAGAGAGAAAACTAACCTGTCATAGAATCTTGAATTATACGAAATTCTTTTGTTTCATAAAAAAGGCAAAGCTAGAGAATGGGATATTCGGTTCTGCTTCCTAGTTTCCGGTTTGATCGAAAGAAAGAAAAGCGTAAATAGGAAAGATCAGGATTGGTTAATCAAACTCGATCAATCCTGCTGCCAGTTTGTGAAATATCAGATGAAAAATATTTTAACGATATGGAGAAAACGTGAGGGAGTGACTGGTTGGTAGATACATATGGATTTTTAGACGGATATAGATGGACATTTTGCCATTCACATATGTACGTACTCATGCGTTTCACGCACACATATACACACGCACAAGAGATATAAGCTAAACATGTGTGTTTGGTCATACTACTTGGTCATATGTATGTACGTATATGTCACTCACACACACACACACACACACACACACACACACACACACACACACACACACACACACACACACACACACACACACACACACACACACACAACACACACACACACACACACACACACACACACACACACACACACACACACACACACACACACACACACACACACACACACACACACGCACGCGCAAGATATACGAAATATACATAATCTAATGATGTTTCCATTACAAATAAAAGAAAAAATGTAAAGGTTGAAGCTTAATCATTCCGAATAGCAAATTAATTAGTAAATATCCAAGATGGATGTAATGCGTACAATATATGTGTGTGTGTGTGTGTGTGTGTGTGTGTGTGTGTGTGTGTGTGTGTGTGTGTGTGTGTGTGTGTGTGTGTGTGTGTGTGTTACATACTTGTAAGGCCTAAACATGCCTCCTATGTAGCGTATGATAAGCACCTGTGATTTATGGCTGCGAGGAGGGGGCTGCCGCGGGGTACGACGAGGCTCATGGGGCTGGCAAGGAAGGTGTCGCGGCTCTGGTAGAAGTCGCAGCGCCCTGTTTGCGACGGAATAGATCGGCGATGGTTATGCTCATTGTTTTAACGCTATTTTTTAATGGCTACATGCATACGCACACCTACACGTAAACGCAAATATGGTTATGTTATCTCAAAACATTATTTTACTATTCATATTATCAAAACTAATATTAAAATTATCCTTGCAAAGTATAATTTTCATTGATATTATCCTCAATGTCAACATTATCATGTTTTTAAATGAAACTGTCATTTACATTTTTTTTACCTCTATTATTTACTTTATCATTATCATCACAGTTGAAAAATACCAATATTTTTTTATTTCTTTATTTATCATTATCATGATAAAAATAATGATAATAATAATAATCATATTTGCTACTACCGCTAATAGTAACAATAATAATAATAATAACAATAATATAATATACACTACTATTAATAACAATAACAATTTAAAGAATCATCATGATAAAA